AAGCAATTGCATTGACGATGATCTGCCGACATTTTTGCTACTCTATACACGCTGCTTTCATTTATATTGTGCCATTATTATAAATGTTTGTTGGCAAAGAAGGAAATATATTGATTTTAATAACACATTCGTTGTGCCTAAGATTCATCATACGCTATAAGTATACGTTGACCCAAAGGCAAACAAAGGTTAAAACAAATATGTGTACGAAACCATCAAAACGATGAACGAAATGCACGAAAAATGTACTTCCATTGTGAAAATGGCAAACGATGAGCGAACGTTTTTCAATGAGTTCTGGTTTTTTTTTTTGTCGAAATATCTTACGAAAATTTGAACAATGCGAACCAAAATTAGGCACTTTTATTTTAAGCGAAGCGTTGACGTCGTTGCTGTTGCCATTGGTCAGCATTATCTAATTACTAATCATTTTGAATCATTCGTTTATGTGTGAACGGAGTCAATGCAAAATAGATTGAGGAGTGCGAGAGCGCGCGTGCGCGCGTGGTGTAATCGTGAACTTGAAATCTCTGGTGCCGGTTGATTAATTCGCATAACGTTCGAATACAATGAACATCGAAATATGGCAAAAAAATAATTAAAGGTTTCATTCCGTGCCGCATATCATTTTTTGTTGCTCGTTGCTTGGTTAACTCCCCGCTAGCTCTCTGTCTCTATTTGACAAAGAAAATACATCGCGGTATTTGGATGACCTCAGTAAATTGTTCACAGATTTTGGTCATGTCATATGTAACACATAAACCGTACACGATTTCTCACAACACAACGATCATCATAATTCATTATTTCGCGTGTTAATAAAATTTCTATTGAATAGAATGCGATATGAGCAAAACGGAACAATACCAACACAACACAGCACACAATTTCCAATGAATAGCGATTGAAAGCGAATTCAATTTACACAAACCCAAAGAGTTTGGTTGTGAAAGGGGTCTATATGATTTTTTCTTTTTTGTTGTTGCTTGCAGAACGAATCCGTGGTGAGAGACACACACAGAGAGAGAGAGAGAGTTGGATGAACTCAAAGTTTGCAAATCATCGATTTTTCGGAATCATGTGGCAACCACAAATGACCTCAAATCGATTTTGTGTGCAATGCGGAAAATCCGAGATTGTCGTCAACTAAATATTGAATTTGTCGTTTCAAACGCGACATATTAAGGCATCCATATAGTATATAATTATTTTATGATTGCTCTGAAAATGGTTCGACTCGGCCACAAATATTCAATGACGTTTTCCAATGAATTTCTTTGCTTGTCATGTGTGCAACTCGATATGTGGTTTTTTGTTGAAGTTGTTGTTTTTGCATGAGCACGATGCCGTTTTCATATTGAAATAGTGATGATAGAGTGCAGGCCTATAACAAAATATCGTTAATAGATGGTTATAAGGGAGTTGTTGTGTGTGTGTGTGTGTGTGTGTGTGTGTTCGGAATGATGAAGTGCCGTTGGCGATACTTGAGATCATTTAATTTCAATGAAAGCATTAATAGAAATGTTTCATATCACACAAAAAATGGTATGTTCGATCGATGCATGAATTTAATGCCATGTGATAAAGTTGACGAGATAGTTGTGCGGTTGTTGTGGTCGTGGCAAATTCAATATTAGAATATGATAATCATTACGGTGGTACTTAAAGTTTTCGATGGATTGACGCCAGCCAACAGCAACAAACTTAAACACAAAAAAATGCGACTGACCGAATTGTCAATTAGTTTTGAAATCAATAAAACGTTCGTACAGGTAAAGATGAAGAATATCTGTCGATTGCCGTCCAAGTCACATCACTCTATTTCATTTGGTATACACGAGTATTCGTCGAATATTTCCTCTCACATGCAATGGAGCAGAATTTATGCATTATGCCACCAGAAAAGTATATTTATGGTAATTTAAATTCATGTGATTGCCTACAGCTATAATAATGCTGGCATGTGCTATTACTCCAAACATCTAAATTATACATCATTGAATCGATGATGACCAATCGATCGCATCGTTTCATTCGTGTGCTTCGCTTGAGTTTTCTCTTTTCGTTTGGCCAACAGAATTTTAAATTCACTAATCAAGTGATTTGCTTCAATTTTCGACTAACACGAGAACCGAATCAAGTGATTCCAGTGGAAATACACGTCGAAAATGGTCCACCGAATCTATCAATTAGTGAATATATTAATCAATTTTGGCAGATAACGATGATTTGCGATTGCATAATCACATCACATATCACCGATCATTTTTGGATGCAAAGTGGCCATGGATGATCGATGAAATTGGAATAATTTCAGGTTCGTGTTTGGATACGTCGCAATGAAATTGTTTTCGTTGGTGTGTCATGAAAATATGCGTGGAATGTGTTCAATTTTGTGATTCAGTGTAAACGATTTTGACAATTATGTGCTGCGTTGAGGAAAGAAATTCAATGAAAATGTCGTGTTTCGTCATGCGAAGAATTAGAAGTGAAACAGAAATGAAAATTGTAAAATAAATCAAGCGAATCGCGCTTATTTCAAATGCCAACTCAAAATCGGTTGCCATGTAGACGACTGGAACATAAAAAGCAGTCGCATACATAGAGCAAGAAAATCTCTGGCTGTAATAATGAAATGTCCTTTGCAATGTCATCCGTCCACAATTGGCATGACTAAATAAAAGCTAAACTAATATACTAACATCTTGTGTGTGTTTGCTTTTGATTTGGAGATATTGTTAGACGTTTTGCACCGACACAGCCACCACAATCGACGACGCTGAATGGTGATTCTGGCGCATTGTTGATTTATTTATTTATTGTACGGTGACAATAAATTGAATGCAGGCCAGGTAATGCATAGCACTGATAAGCGGCCACACCATACAGAATTGTGTTGATTCAAAAGCATATATGGTCAATGATTTCAAGCAAATTCATGGCAACCAATCTTATATGCACAGACAAACAACGCCGTGTGTACTATTCTCAAATCAACTCAATCAAAATAACAACCAATAAATATGATCGCACGCGTGCAAAGTTTGCAAACAAATACAGCCAATTCAAGCCTCAACACAATAAATTTGAATGCAATTTTTTCACGTACACATCGTCGATTTGTAACTTGACCGTGCAAAGCGATAGAGTTTTTTTTTAATTTCATGATTTTTTTCAACAACAACAAAAAAATAACGGAGCGCAGTGGAAATGATAGCCACTGCATTTACTCACATCGCTCGTGGTTTTGTAGGTCAAACATTTGTAATTCGATGTCATGACTTAAACTTATCTCATCTTTTAAGCGGCAACGATTCGGTTCGGGTTCATTATCAACCGATGTGACCGATTTGCCATTTGCCATTTGAAATGATCAACTCAAAACATTTTATCGATTCGACTTGGATTGACTTGATTCAACACTTTTGCTCTTTTATTACATATTTAGTAGAAAAAAGAAAACTATTTGGTTCTTTCAACTTGATTGAGAGTCAAGTCATAAACATCGTCGTACATTACGGACAACTGAATTGGAATGTTTTGTGTTTTGATCCATTCATTTTTTTCTATTGTAATGGATTTTAAAATAAACGTTCAGAATATCGGTATTGTAATAATGGCTGCTGCTGCCAAATGGGTTTGATCTCAAATATTTCCATCGCCAAAATCAAATAATGAATATTCTATTCACACTCTAATAGAACGCTTCACCAAACCAATTTTTTTCTGAATTCTTTACAAACAGATGTACCAATCTCGCTTCTTTTTCGTTTCTCTTCTTTTTTTTGGCCAAGTCAAAACTGATCAAGGCAATGTCATTAATTTGAATCAGACGAATCTTTAAAATGCCCAATTGCTGTTCGGAAAATCGAACATGAATAGAAATCGACAGTCATACAATTGATCGCAATCAACTGTGCTGGCGTCAGAAAAGACATTCATTGTCGTTATCTTACGACTAGACTGCTGAAAGTAACGCATCTTTTTTCCTCATCTTCTTTCTTCTCTCTTCATTTCTTTGGCATAAAGGTTATTAACACCGGGTCGATTCAATTCGAATGCAAAAAAAAGAACCTAATCCTATTTTAGCTTATGAATGTATGTCGATACTTTTTAGCTATTTTTGAACTAGTCAATAAATTTTAATCACTACTGATTTCAATCAGCAAAATTTATTCATTTCCAAATTAGAAGAAAAGAATCGCTTTTTCTATGGCTATCGCAGAAATTTTGTTTACTTCAAAACGAAATCGAAGTGCCTGCACGGTTTTTCGTTGCGATCACGCCAAAACCAACGACAAACAAAGACATTCAAATGCGCGTGCGCGCGCGCCATGATTGTTGACATCGTTATGAAAATTGAAACGTTTTTGAAACAAAACAACACGAAAATGATTGTATTTCCATTATTTGAGTTTTGAGTTAAAACAAAAGAAAATACACACAAACCCACATACACCAATTGTGTGTTGTAATTTCTGTAGAATTTGTGAATTGGCCCATTAAATTTCGATGTCGTGAGAATCATCTCTGGGCGATAGAATGGAATCGGATCAATTCGAACCACACCAACAAACGGCCAAATGAAATGGGCTTGATGGAAAAAATGATATACATTTGGCGCATACAGTTTACCAATTTGGTTCGACAACATTGCGATTTAATTGGTTTCATGAATGCTTATGGATGTTTTGAATTCTGGACGAATTTATAAACGAAAGCAATAATATAATTATAGTTGCAACTATTTGTTGTTGTTGTTTCCTTTGTCTTCTGTTTATCTTATCGAAAAAAGCAGTCATTTTCCAATTTATTTTCTTTCTTCACGAGTTAACAATATTTTCTCAAGACGAAACGAGGCGTGTTGTCGTTGGCCGCGATTGAACGGCTTGAAAATCGGCCGTCATCCATTGATGCAAATCGATGGGAGGGAAACAAGTAGTTTAGTTTTTCGGGGCAATTTTTCTTTTTGTTGTTATTTTCGTGTGTTTGTGACTTACCGACCGCACTGATGACATAAGTAGCTGGCGGTTTCAAAACGCTTCTTGCATATGCTCCGCGTAAAACTTCTAGAGCGCATGGGTCAGCCGTGACTAACAGCATCCCTGGAGCAACATGACCGGCATATTTTAACGCTCTTGTTGCTGCAGTTAATGGCCCATTCCACCAACATTGCGAATTTGCAGCGAGAAAATTCTGTAAAAAAAAGAGAATATTTATGATTAAAAAAATTACAAATAGAGAGAAAAAAGCAAACACATAAGCAGAAACGAATGCTTGAAACAGTGGAGCAAAGGAATAGAAATGAGAGAGAAATTGTACACAGATTAAAGCAATTGAGTCAAGAAAATAAAAATGCCAATAATAAATTCAACGTGCAGATGGTCGCGGCTAGAAGCCGACCAAAGGGAATAGCACAACGGTAATGAAGTAACAGGGAGAAAATGTGACCGGTGAAATGGGAAAATGGTGCATAAAATTACAAGTCCACGAGCCGAATGTAAAAACAGTAAAGCGCGAGATGAATAAAGAGAAGAAAATTAAGCAGCAAACAGCAAACACACACACACACATACGAATAAATCTACTGGAAAATGATCTAAAAGCAACAAAAACGGCCGAGAAAATCTCTCACTCACTCTCTCTTTAGCTCCCTACGGTAGACGTTATGGAAAATTATTCGTGTACTAACAACGATTTTAATATTCTGCTAATGGCAAAACAATAACAATAATCACTATTTGTAACGGTCCATTTTGTAGTGCGATGTCAGTATGGTACCGACAATATGCACAAATGTGAAGCGACATGGGATTGTGTGGCAGAAGAAAAGAAAAGGCAGTTCATTTGCTGCCTGTGAGAGATGCCACAGCGCGCCGCGAAGCGATATATCGCCACATATTTTGTGAAATCACATCGTACACACAGGCTCAGACTACTCTCAACTCTCTTGAGAGAGAGAGAGAGAGAGAGAGAGAGAGAGAGAGAATGTCTACGGACACTTGCGAAAGTATCACTTTGAATTAAAGCCACCTTTCTCCCAATATTAGTGTTTTATTATTCAGCGAATCTGATTACAAATAAGGACCAATGCCGTCGCCGAACATCAAACAAAGGGAACGCGAATGAAACCACACTTGAAACAAAACTTAATTGCATACGCATCTGTAACCCAAAGCGCACACGATCGCAATAACAATAACAGAAACGAAAACATGGCAAATATCAAGCAAAAGCATTTGGCTTTTGTTGCACATTTTTTGCGCTTCAAATGGACCGGATTTCTATCACGAATATAATTGAAGAGTAATTGGCGAATATAATACATAAAAGTCGCAACCAATAAACCCAACTTAATTGTACTGTTTTGTTATATATCGGAAATCAATTGATCGCTTGCACCAAATGAAATTATTGTCACGATCACAACACATTGTGCTCACCGATACTGAACATGAGAAACTGTGTACGTGTGAGATGCTTTTCCCCCTTAATTTCACGCAAACCAAAATCGCGCACAACTCGAAAAAAATACAAAATCCTGGCGCCGCTCAAGGAAAACAATTATCGTGCTATTGTATACAATATTCGAGTAGATAGATCTATGGAAAATGATTCGGAGGCCTTTGAAATTCCACGAAACATGTGTTGCCAATTTGATTAAAACAATGAATTTTGTTTTGTGTGTTTTTTTTTTGTGTTTAAAATCTAAACAACAAAATTGGTTGTCTCTAAAACATTTACGGGGTAAATCGCTGGAAGCGTGTAATATACTCTTTGCTGTGAAGTTCACATAGTGATCAACCAGCCATTCTTAACTCGAATAGAGAGAAGAAAAACAAATCGCTGCAACCAGATTGGTAGTCAATGAAAGTCGATTGAGTGATGTCGAAGCCAATGGAATGCAGCATAAAACAATTGGCACAGACATGTCAACCGATAGTAAAATGCGATTTGTAGTTGCGACGCATAAAATCGACGATAAATTGTCGATTTTAGATTGATTCACTGTGGCAGCGTTCACCTTCAAAGCCAAACGCAACGAATGCCAAGCGATACGATGCGATCGAAAATGTTGATAAGATATCACCGTATCGCACCACTGCCTTTAACTTTTGCATTTGGCTTTGAATCGCCTGTTTGTCTATGATTGCAAAACAGAACGATGTGAACGCATCGAAGCCATACAATTTTGAATAAATGCCAGGGCTTTAGAAAATCAATGGATTCGATCGATTACAATTTCCACACCTCGGAAAATTTGTTCGCAGTCCCGTGTTCACGTCATTTCATGAATCAATGTTGATTGTTCTACAGTGTAGAATCCACACACACACAAACAAAACGGCACACTGACAAAAAGGAAACCCTTTTGTTCCCTGTCCGCATTGGATGACTTGACAAGACAATCGCTTATTGCTGAGTCTCTCAATTCAAACTCATCATTTCAAACGAGAACATAGAGTAACTGTCATCACATCCATCACTCCGTTTACATTTCACATCTGTTCGTCGGCGTTCATGGAATTTTTTTGTTGTTGCAATAATTCAGCAATTGTACGACAATCGCAACCAGTGTATCTCTCTGCGTATGTGTTTGTGTGCATTTATTCGTGTCCTCGCCTTTCATTCCGTATCATTTCGGTATATGAGCGTTGAAAAACAAAACATTTACGAATTTTCTGACGCAAACTTTGCATCGTAAAATGTGTCTGCAGCCGTACTTTTTTGCGATAGCGCGAAACAAAAGAAATGATAAAATAAATGGGCTGCGTCACAATTGTTTCTCTTTTTTCTGTCTGTTTTTTTTTTAGTTAATTAAATGAATGAATTTGGAAAACGAAACAGATGAAATACTTGAAAATAATGGCAAAAGGTTTTGGTTGCCTTGTAAACACGTGTGCTCCTCTCGTTGTTTTATTATTTTATCTCATATGCTGAATATATTTTTGTTTTCGTTGTTAAACATTCATTGGACGCGATGACGCATTTTTTGGAAATCGTTTTTATATTTTTGCTTCTCAATAGCTTGTATTTAGCAACCGTTGTTTTTTGTTCGCCATCTCCAATTTTAAATTGATTCGTTTCATTTAAAAACGGAATAATTCAACACTGAACTTGAACCATTGTTGTCGGTATTTTTAAAGGCAAATAAACGCGAGTAACCTACTGATGATCTATTTCAGTGAGAGCAGCACACAAACACGCACCAAATGACTGCATTTTATTATTTTATTCTCTCCGGAGATAGCATCCGACGAAAGGCTCATTGTTTCTCATTTTCAAACGTATCACAATAACTTTATATCGTTCAAAATATACGAAATTCAGAGTTGTGACATCTAGGGGGTGGACACGAAATAACACTAGAAGAAAACTAGCAGAAATTGAGCATACTAGAAGTTACTAGAAGAATATTTGTGTTAAAAATGAGTGATGCCTCTTCCATAAGAATAGCATTGCCAGTGGTTTTTATATGGACAAATTCTTCCATTTAAAATATACTGCCAATGCTTTGCTTATGGAGTTCAAATGTTTTGTTTACAAAAAGTACCGTTAATCCTTCCATAAGAAATGCATTAGCAATGCTATACTTATGGAAGAAGTAATGGTACGATACTAGAAATACTAGCAGAATATTTGCGTTTCTGCTTGTATACTAGAAAAACTAGAAGAAACTAAACGCATATTTGAACCGATTTGAACAAACTAGCTATACTACAAATTGGTGTCTAACCCCTAGTGTGACATTATTATCACTGCATTTTAAAATGATTTTTGCAAACACTTTTCAAATTCAAAATAGGCCTTTATTATGAATTCTTTCAGTATAAAATTTATAGACGTGTATTTCGATCGCATGCGTAGACAATCAAGGCACTGCCACATAACGAATGCGCCGCTTGCAAGTGCCACACTTTATCAGGTGGTGTGCAGCCACACAAAAACTATTGGGCAATGTGTTGTGATATTTGATAAAAACACAATTCAACGGTAAAATATTCAAATGCGAACAAAAATCATTTATGAAATATGTAGAAATAATTCCATTTTGAATCTGATAAAAATGTGCATTGAAGTGTACATTTCTGTTGTTGAAATTGGCAAATTGAAATCAACCCAAGGCAAGCGGTTTTTAACAAAGCGATTCGTATGCAGTAGGGAAAAAAATCGCTGTCCTTTCGAACGAAATGGATAATTAATTCCAGGTACAAACAAAACTGGCACATCGATTTACGGGAAAAAGAACAACGGCGAATGCACAATTTTGGTCGAAATCCAGAATTGTTTGGCTATTTTTGCTGTGAACAAAAACTGTTTTTGATTCAGGAATAAATTGTGTACATGACACGAACAGCCAAAAAATCGATTGCCATAATACGGGCAAATGCATTTTTAATAGTTCTGTGTGACATTCGATTGTTTGCTTTATTTTGCGCATCGTTCATATCTGTAGGTACGGCAAAACTTTTGTACTGTCGCTTCAATCCGTGTTGCTATCAAAAAACTATCAGCCAAATTTTAAATTGACCAAGTTTCGCGATTTATTTTCACATTTCAGTCTCTGTGAAACTTGCAAGAGTCGTCCGAGAATATGTTTCAGAAATTAAGTCGACAAAAGCAATTGAGACAAGGTCGCATACAATGAATTCTGATGATTTCGAAAACGGAAAATATTAATACTTTTAAGTGTTTTTGTTGTTGTTTTTCTCTTCTTAAGTAGTCACACTGGTCATTGAGACGGCGTCCGCAGAATGAATTTAAAATGCACAATAACAAAGTCAGTCTTACTGAGTGTGATGCCAAAAACAACCAAAGTGACACAAATATTCTTGAGCTTGGCAAAACCTTTGTACACACACACACACACACAATCAATTTGCAATTTGTGTGCGGTGCTGAGCTTTAGCGAAACGCATTTATGGATGTGGCATGGCAATTAAATTGTATCGAATATAGTGTTGTGCAATCGCGATTCGAAGCGTTTGTTTTTTTCTCGTCTTTTTCTGAGGTGCGTTTTTTGTGTTTTGGCGAGACGTTTGACTCAAACAAGGCGAATGATACGGTTTTGAGCCGAAGTCGAGCTATATACAATGGCTTTAAAGCCATCATATATGCAAGAAGCTTAAGTTTTTTTTCATCTTTGGTTCGAGGAAAAAAACCGAACTCAATTGAAATGCGAGAAAAATAGAAGG